AACAAACGATATAATTCACGACGAACGTCTCACGTGCTCGACTCAACAATCCTCTCTCTCTGTCCGCAGTTCAATTACACATTACATTGTTGCCGTCACGTCTTGACCGTCTTATATATAAAAGAATACCGAAATCTGGTAAACGCTCGAGCATTCAGGAAGGGACAGGATCCTTCTAGAAGTTCGTGACGTGTTACTAGAGTCTCGTGACTTCCGCTGTCGTAACAATACTTTTATATGTTATCATGTGCGCGAAAGAACTAGGAACTATTGAAAGTCTGATTTCTTCAATGTATATGTTAAAATGATATTCACAATACATGGCAGATTAAATATAGGTATATGAAAGTAATGAAATAGAAACCATGAATATGTAGCAGAAATAATATGCAACCATAATGTGACAATTGTGTCCAACAGATAATTTAAGGATAAAGTGTTCAAGAGCATATCAGTTCCTAATGCCCCCCAGTACCACAGCGGTATGTGGAAGGCCATCATCATCTGTAGTCCATCCAAACCCTTTAGGGTTTAGCACATCAGGGTGACTCTGAAGACAGCACTTCCAGATTGCTGCTTAGTAGTTTGCACAGAATGCATACACGTAGAGGCAGTCCCTGCATGGTGGAAGCTGACTTGATTCAATCTCCCCTAGTTTGACACAGAAGAACTGGTACCACAATTCATTCACTTCATAAGTGCTGGTCGTTGTTGAATACAGGTAGCAAGTAAGCTGTTCTATCTTCTCAAACAGCTCTGCAGGCACTTCTCAGGACTGACCAAGTTGGCTTAAGGTGTCCCGGTAGGTGCTCTCCTTATTAACAAGTTTCAGAGCCCCAACCTTCCCACGACCTGTAAAGGCACTGACTGTATCACACTTAGTCAAGGCATGTAGTCCATTTAGGACTGTGCAGACGCTGTTTCCAAGTGAACTTGCCAGTTTGCCAATGTCGATGAACTTTGTGTGATTCTGTGTTCCACATATCTGATAGATAGGGCATCTAATTAGATAATTTAATTTTAAAAAGTATTTAATAAATGTATGATTTACTTGGTTATTTTCATTTTTAGATCAAAATATTTTGTGATAATATTTTCAATATTATCTAACGTATTACATACTGTTATTTTTTCACCTATATAATTATCTATTTTTTAGAAATATGTTTTTGTTTTACTTAATAATGCTTCTTTCATGTTAGAGGGGATGCACTTTGTATACTCATTCTCTTTTATTTTTGCTTTCTCTTTATGCACTAAATTTATTGTGGTTAAAATTATTACTCAATTACCAATACTGAATTGATAAAGGATATACTTTTAACTCTCAAACGTGCCCAACATCTCGAGACTTTTAACGATAGCTAAATTTGAGCATGTTAGACTCATGATTTTGTTTAAATACTTCTTTTTTTAAACAAAATTTCAACACGTCAATTTCATCATTTATTATTTTTATATCGATGATTAATAAGTTCATGAAGGAACGAGAATCTCATTTTACGTTTACTTGACCAGTGTCAAGATAATTGAACTGTGATCGGATTAACTTTCGCCATACATACAGTTGATCACTCAATTCTCAAACTTGCAGTTACCGATTTGAAAAGACAGTCTCCTCGTTGATAGAAACCCTTATTTTAATTATCTTCACAGAAATTAAATGCTACAGTATTTACATAAATATAAAAGTGTTGAACATAGTTCTTTTCTGTATAAGGATAGTACAAGTATCACAAGGTTGATAATACTTTTATCTGTGAATGGAAAATTTGTATTAAGCTCATTTTCATTCATGTAAGACAGACGAACACTCTAAAATACATTACAAAGCTTACAACAAATAAAAACTTTAAAGATTACGAGTATTTTTGTAAATGTTTATTATGCTTTTCAGCGGGGGATTTTAATCATGAGACAAATGTAAATGACAAATCAACACTAACGTTGAATTTACGCCAAATTTTTATTAACTTAATTATACTTTCTTACTCATTCACATTAAAAATGTTTTCAATATTTCTAAGTTATACACATGTTAGTGTATACAGCAGTACTAGTATGTTGATTACATTTTTTTAATCAAGTCAACTGAATGTGTTTAAATCGATCTGGTAATAACAAATACCAGCACTTTCGTAATAACTTTAAATATTTTACCCTTTAACCCCCCCCCTCCCCCCTCCTCTATATATGTTTCTGCGTTGCGTTTTGAGTTCATGAAGCCACCTACATTCTATACTTATGCATTATGAAGTTGAACTTTCGGTTCATGGACTTTAACCAGCATTTTTTATTTTTCTACATTCTGGGCTTTTGAACTTGAACCCTCGTATACACCTTGTACTTTGTAACTTTATTGTTTCTTATATTATACTTCTTTGCCTGATTCTATTATGCACTTCAAGTTAAACCTAAATAATCTAATTAGAATTGGGTAGACATAGAGAGGTGATTACATAACATTAGTTATTAGGTAAAATGCAGGATGAGTTTTGACTTTTATTAATATGGCTATTTTCAGATTACACACAAAGAAACAGAGTAAGTTATAGTTGTTGTTGTTGTTTCAGTTTTCAAGTCTTAATTATTAGCACATTTCATTGTATCACAATGATAACCTTCAAGTTCAATAACCCACAATTTTAGTTCATCTATGGAAGTTTTGTAACAAGACATGTTTCCGTATATTTCACGAAAGTAATATTCTGACGAGCTTTGTACTGTACAACGTACATATCTGTTACAAGTTTTGCTACCATTTTCACGTAGGTAATATTTTGGCGAGCTTTGTACATATTTTTAACATGACATGCTACTGTGTATTTCATTAAAGTAATATTCTGGCGAGTTTTGTAATTGTCAGAAATTAAATAGCTTGTTTGTGAAGATCTGTTTGATTGTGTTATGCATATGTTGATATAAGGAAATAATTTTATTTATTTCAGTTCGTAAACGTTCTTTTTTTTTACATGATCTGAGCAGCACATTGCACGTTTGTTTTTGACTTGTAAAACGTATAAAGCTGCAAGCTGGTTTTAACACAAAACAATACAAAAGGCCAGCTAGGTCAAAGGCCACTAACCGTCATTCTGCTTACAAACTACTGATCTATTAAAATCGAGTCTTTAAGCACATTTACCTCATATATAAATGAGTAAGCAAAGAGTAACAGTAGTTTAAATAATAATATAATAACAATTTCATATTTAAAAATTGATTGTCATTAAACAGTTTTGAAGCATGATATTATTATTTTTTGTATAATTTCGTTTCCGTATTTCAGCTTCTTCTTCCTTAAAGTTGAGTAGGAATTCACTAAACGTTAAGTAATAGCAAAGAAAGATGAAGTCCAAATCGCATGTAGGAGTAAAACGACTAGTATTTGTCTATTTTTTTGTAAGTAATAAACTATATTTTTTTACAGTTAATTTCATTAAATCTTATTAGTAACAATGCTCAAAATACTTGTTTTAATTAATTTTAAATCTATGAAAACTGTATTGTATATTGAACCTAAATCACATGAGTTGACCAAAAGCTCGATAGATATTATTGGGATTACAGCCAAAAATATCGTTGACAGCGACGATACCGAAATGATAATTCAGAACATTTTAATCATTGTACAACGAAATGATAATTCAGAACATTTTGATCATTGTACATTTAGTTTTCTTGTGTATTGGTTTATACTAGAAGTATTTACAATCATTTTGTTAACTTATAAGTTATTTTTAGATTATTTTAGTCTTAACAATGTAGTTAGCACACTTTTGACTAGCAGTTGTCATTAAGTAATGTGATTAGAAGAAATGGTCAACCAAACTTATATTACTTAATTAGGATAATATTTCCAGTGCAATAAGTATGAACACGCTCTTGTACCATAGTATTTATTACTATGGACTTTGAGCGATATACATATCACATGACTTACGGTAACACTCTGCTTGGTAGTTTTTCGATTGGCACCAAGTTGATAAACAACAGTGCCTGTGTCTCATGATTAATGATCATACCTATCTCGTGACTGCTGAGCTTACATAAATAGTACAAACACTTGAAAGCACTGTTGTTGTTTCTTTATCACACTTTAGAGACCCTGCAGGTGAACAAGGTAAGCTGAACAACACTCAATGTTTAACAGTATGCGATACTTTGATTTAAGCTATTAAAGATCGTGCCTTACAACAGCAGAGAGAGAGTGTGATGTAACAGATGTATTTACGTAATATAACAGATCAAGAGTGTAATAAGCGATATAAGGTTACAAAAATGTTTGTCTTGAATTAGCCTAAAAACAAAGGGTTTTTCGTTCGGATGATTAATTATTTAGTGAGCTGTGATAAAAATGTATCCCTACATTGATGAAGGAAAAAAAGCTAAAATATCAGTAATAAATACAAGTGTTTTGCACCTGAGAAATATCTGAGTTTGAAAATTAATATAAGTCCAAATCTACTTCGCACAGTCAATTTTGAAAGGTTGGTAGAATTTGATACAATACTCATGATTACTCGTTATTTCAGCTTCTTTAGTTATGGTTTCCTTTTAGTCGTTTGATAAGTGATTGGACTTCTTATTAAATCCCATAGTTCACGCCCCGTTCCCCCCCAAAAAATCGCATTCCGCATTTTGGAGCCGAGGATGAGTTATAATAGTGATGGTCAAATCTCATTCTTCGATTAGAGTAACCTACGAGTTTGGCTGTGTTGACTAGCTGCTTCCCCTCTGCTTTATTACCGGCGCAGATATTCCTCGAGTAGTTTTTGAAATTCCCCAAACAACAACATCTTATCAAATTCACGACATTTGTACTTGGAAAGCTTAAATGAGAGGGCGTCTTATTTCTGGGTTATCGTGCTTGAAAAACGAGAGACAAATTAGCACTTACGAACTTGTGTTACTGGCATGCTTATCGCAAAAAGTAAGAAATTGACCTAAAAATGTCCAACAGTTTTAAATGATTCTCTATGTTCATGTGTGCATGTGTAGTTTTAAAGGGATTTTGTATGATATATATATATATATATAAGCTCTTGTCTCCCTTATAATCTTTTAGAAGTACTTTTTGGTTGGTTGGTTCATTCGAAAAAAATTTATATAACTTACAGGATTTTATTTCCACGCAATCTGTTTTGCTGGAGTCAAACGGAACATTCCGTTTATTTGAGAGGTACGATTATAAACGAAACAAACTTCATCTGATAATACAGTTTATATTAACAACAAGGTGTGTGGGCCTAGTGGTAAACTTAATCCAGAATCATTGTGAGATGGTAGCCATTGGACAAGTCTAAAGTAAAGGTTAATATTTACGGAGAATGTTTTGTAAAATACAGTCTAGTTAATATATATAGTTGATATATAATTCAATGTAAAACTACAACTCATCTCATCTCATAGATTTCAACATGATTATACTCTCTATTTTAATCACTTAACGCTGTTAAACTATTTCTGACTTTTTGGGCTCAGTATGTCAGGCATTATTATCTCACATGGTTTTTTAGTATCTCATTATCTCAGCTGTTCCTAAAATATCAAATTAGGTATTAGACGAAGATCGGGCGGTGGATACCAACAAATTTATATTACACAGATAATTTCATCGGTATTTCCACCCAATTTAGTTTTCTACATTTGAACTGTAACGTAAAAGAGATGATAATGTAAAGCCAATGCACAAAGGTTGTATATATAGGTATCCATAACCATCAGAGGCTTTAATATGTTATTAACTTAAATTATTTGGACGGAAATATATTTTTTTTTATATATGTAGTATTATGTATATGTATGGTGGGCCTATTTCTTTAAAAAATTGTTATAAATAGAGAACTTGTTTTGTTTTCAGAATGTTGACCCGAATACTTTTTCTGGCTTTATTTGGACTGGTTTCGGCCAGGACCATCATTCCCCCCACTATCCACCCGCTCTCCCAGAAGATGATTGACTACATCAATCTGATTAACACCACATGGAAGGTAGGAGCTTTTGTGGCCCTTCTACACGTAATTGGTTAGGTTAGTGTGTTCTAACTATATTCAAAGTGGATTTCA